TTCCATTGCACAAGTATTCCACAAGTCTTATCCCAACACATGCATGCACACCACTAACAGCAGTACGTACCCAACTGCTCCATTTGGTAGAGCAACAAGCACCCGAGGACACAAGTATTCATGACACCAGGTTCCACATCTTTACCTTGGCATCTGTCCCCATAATGAGGTCCTTCAGCTCAATGATCTTATCGTTTATAGATGACCGATAACGCTTCTCGATGATGTTGTGAGTTGTTCTCCTCTCGCCTTCTTTAGGTGGTTCTGGTTGCTTGACACCCCCGGGAACTTGTTTGATAGGCACCTTTTCTTGCCCCATCATCACTGGCATCGTGGTCAGAATGGTCCCATTGCTCCCAACAAGGGTCTACAGGGACAGGGCATAGGAAGTGTCAATAGCAATCAGCTGATACACATGAGATTTACTATGGTAAGAGCAAAATGAATACAAAGAATTCAGCAAAGTTCAAAGAGCTCAAAAACAAAGGGGCAGGCCAGTGTCTCCCCAAGGACACCATCACCCCAACACTTTCACCAATATCATACTCTTTTCATCCACTAACTAAACAGAAATGGACCAAGGTCCTTTCTTGCTCCTCAAATCCTTCTGCCCCACCTCTCTAAATCCACCCCTTCCATGGACAAAGGAAGTTGTTAGACCATCAACAAGCAACACTACCTCTGAACCAATGATGTCAGAAAGGTTCTGACTGCAGAAAGACAAACTCTGGCTTGAGTGATGCAGTTAATTTGAGTTAGATTATATGAGGAAAAAAGTAGATCCCTGATGACTTTAAGTTACAAAAATGCCTTAAGATGAGGAATCAAGGCAACAAGTGTTACATGCTGGTGTGAAAAGTCCAGACTTGGTCACCTAAGTGTAGACAAACCAAAGCAGTATGTGCTCCACAGTAAAAGATGAATCCCACCAGAACGGTTGCACAGAGGTGCTTCTAGGATCATCAGTGTAAAGAAAAGAATTTAGACGACTTAAACAAGTAAAACAAGATTGGGAAGGGTACAACTGGCCACTAAAGTACAACCAGGATCGGAGAAGCTGTTAGGGAAAGGAAGAGTTATTTACACTAAAAGTCAGACTGATGGAAATGAGAATAAACTAGCCGCAAAGAAATGTAGGAACAATTTTGACTCTGAAATGGTCTTCCAACTGGGATAGTAGAAATTAATTTTGTTTCATTTCACTTATTTGTCAAGTTTCAGCTTAAAGCCTTCCACCTCTCTTTGGATAATCTCCAGGAAATTTCAATGTGTTCAGAACATTTTGTGGATTGTGTGTCTGACAGACACACTCACATGAACCTCACCTCCGTGTGAAAGTGCCGCCTAAAAGCGAGCAAATCGACAATTTTAGGCTGGCTGCTAACAAGTACACAGCACGCCTACTATGTTATGCGGAAGTCAGAACTTCAGTCCAGACTTGCAAGATTATTTGTCTCCAGCAGTAAATATTTGAACAGAAGGATCTGTGCAGAACGCAGAGGACCATGATAAAAGCATCTTTGGGGGCACAAGCCTCTCCGAGTGAGTAACAAGTTATGACCCTGAAGCACAGGAGCCATCTCAAATAATGATACTGAATCCTCGCTGCAAACGCCCTTTGAGGAGTAGTTTAATTAGTTTTTATGTTCGACACACTGCTATTAGTTGCTACTGAGGGAGAAAAGAAGGTCCACAGCTATTCCAAGTCAGCTACCTTTCAGTGTCTTCCACAGAGGTTAAAAACCGCATGGAATTCTTAGGTCATACTCTTCTCCTTGTAATACCAGAAAAAGGTAAACAGAAATGTGCCCTTGGTCTTCGCTTACTGGCCATGGGAGGCTGCCAAAAATGTACAATCTGTGTATTTAGCCTTGGCAGAAGCAGGGTATTACTCACTTTGGACACAACCAGAGCAGCACTTGGAAACCCTCCCATCCGCATCACCGATGAACACTAAACTCCAACCCTCCTTCTCCTACCAGGGGAAATAACGCCAGAAAGGGGAAGAAGAAAAAAAAATGTTCAGGGTGGTACCTGCAGAGCTGTGGTCTGAATAGGAGTGGTGAGCGCTGTGAGCGCCGGATTCTGCACCGCAGCCATAACGGGATTGCCATCCGCCTTCAGGGTGGTCAAGACGAGGGAGTCCGTCTTTATGATCTGGGGCTGGACCAGAACCTGCGTGGAAACAGCCACGGATGAAGGGACGAGTAGGCACACGCTCCTCTGCTGATCTTGGTAGCCAGAGGCAGGCGATGGCACAAGCATAATGCCACATCTCGGTGAGTGAACCACCAGCAGGACCACTACAAATTTCTTCCACCTCGCACCTTGTATCACTGGGATGGTTTTTGGACATGCCAGAACCTGGTGCAAGCCCTCACAATGAGAGGGTCTGCACAGGATGTCAAGCAGATCAAAACCAACAGTTATTTTGCCATAACACAACTTGTGCTTCCTTTTTCGAGTACCTTGTTGGTGCTCACATGTAAAGAACATTACAGATGACTTAATACGGTTAAACCAGAGTAACTTTTCCATGGTGAGTGCCAAAACCACTTTTATCTGACATAGAAACACAAGGCTGTTGCCCTCACACGTGGGTTTTAAAACAAGATCATATGACAGTGTAGCAACAAAAAAGTGAAATAAACCATGGTGGAAGAACCAAAATAAAGCATCACCTTATTGTCAGTCTCTCAGTAAGTGGCAGTGGACTTGAAAAAGAAGGAGCAGGACAAAAAGAAGCAGGGAAAACTCAAAGGAAACTCATTTAAATGAGGTTTCTCCCCCCAGGGCCCCCCCGGCCATACCCACAGGAGCACCCCACACCCCCTGCACTTACTGGGACCTGCTGGACCTGCGGCGCAGCCACCGTCTGCACCGTGGCTGGCGCCAGCGTCTGGATGGTGCCACCGGCAGCCTGCGTCAGCACACGCTGCGCCTGCACCGCCTGCACCTGCTGCTGGATGGCCACCGGCTGCACCTGCGAGGACGTCACCAGGCTCTGCACCTGAGGCTGGAGGACTGCAAAGCAGGGGAGAGGTCAGGAACAGCCCGCAAACGCCCAGGTCCTTATTTTGGAGAGTGTAAATGCTCCCCGATTCACTCCTCCTCTTCCCAAAGTTTCTCCCCAGCCAGAGCCCACCTAACACTTCCCACAGGCTGCTCAGAACCCAGCTCCTGCGAGAGGACCCTGCACCTCAAACAGCAGCTTGCCAGGACACACAGAGCATCAGCTGAGCGAAAATGAAGCCAAAGCCCTGTGGGTCTGGCAGCTCAGGGCCCATCACCTCTGTTACGTTACACAGCACGCCTAACCAGTGCCTCCCTGCCTGGGTCTTGGGGGGTCCAACCCAGCCATAGGAGATGCCACAACAGAGGACACCAAGAGGTGGCAGAGGACAATTTACGATCTCCTTTATGAAAGCTGCTCATGCTCGCTCAGTCAAAGCCACATACACAGAAGAAACACCCCACAGGCTCACCATGGCCAAGGACACCTGTGGGACCAGAACTGTGCATGTGCTGCGAGCACTGCCCCACCCCAAGCCCTACCTTGGAAACTGGTGGCTGTGTTCTGGTATATGACAGGCTGCTGGATGATCCTGGTCTGGGGCGCGGAGCTGAAGGTGGGGGCGATCATCACCGTCTGCTGCTGGAGCTGCGGCTGCAGCTGGGGCCGGGGCTGGAGCAGCGGTGCCGGGCGCTGCGGGGGGGCCTTCACCGGGACGCTCTGCAGCTGTGGGGAGGCGGCAGGCGGTGGGAAGGGCTGCAGGGGCGCCTGGCCATAGGGGCGCGGGGGGTCCAGGGTCCCACTGCTGCTGCTGCTGCTGCTACTGCTGGTGGTGGTGCTGCTGCTGCCGCCCTGGAAGGTGCCGCACAAGGGATCCGAAAACAGGTCCGGGAAGTCCCCCGCCTGGTTGCTGACAAACTGCAGCATCTCTGCAAGGAGGGAAACGTTCGGTGCGTTTTTATGGCGTGAATCAGCGGGGCAGGACTCACAGGAGTGCACACACACACACGAGGCAGCCACGGGTGCTCCCGAAGCCCCAGAGGTAGCACGAGGCCAGCCTCACACCTCCGGGCAGGAGCCAAGAGGTGGCCAGAGACTGGGAACAAGAGGCAGAGCGCTCTGACAGCGTCCTGCAGGGCTTCAGGATCCAGGCAGATCCAGAACACAAACCCACCTCCAACAGACTGGAAGTGCTCACCTCAACCTGGCTTCACTTTCACGTTTAAGGGAAAAGAGGGGAAGCACCCCAAGGAAATAACGCGTTACAGAACTTCAGCAGAGAAATGCGTGCGTGTGTCTGAGCAGAAAAAAACCTGTTTCTTATTTTTATTTTTATTTTATTTCTGAGCACGCCGCCTGCTCACCGCTGTGCTGGGGCAGCCGCCCAGCAGCCCCCCCCACCCCACCTCCCCCAGCAGCTCCCGGGGGGGGCTCGGAGCGGCTCCCAGCCCCACAGCCGGGGCTCCCCCCCCCTTCCCCGTTGGACCCGGCTTTAAGGGCTCCCCCCGGTGCCCCCATGCCCCCCGGTGCCCCCCGGCAGCGCACCCACCGTCGATATCTCCCAGCGTCAACTCGTCGCCCAGCTCGGTCAGCGTGTCCATGCCGTCGGTGCCCAGCTCCCCGCCGCCCTCCATGGCCCCGTTGCCGTTGCACCCCCCCCGGGTCCCGGTCCCGTCAGGCGGAGGCTCCCGGCTCGCGCCGCCGCCCGGCCGCCATCTTGGCGCGCCCCCGGCCGCCCCCACGCGTTGTCCGTGAGACCAGGCCGCTGCCGCCCAATGGGCGCGCGCGGCGCCGCGTGGCGTGAGGCCGCGTCACCGATCAGCAGCTGCCATTAGCATGCGGGGCCACGCCCCCCTCATCTGAATATTCATGAGGAGGGGGCGTGGCCACGCGCGGTAAAGGCGCGCCCCCGGCTCCTGCCCCCCCCCCTTCCTCCCCATGTACACGTTCCCCAGGCACGGGCTCGTCTTCGTTAAAAACAAACCAGTAACAAGAATTGGGGTTTATTTGGGAGAAACCAGGCGCGCCCCGCTCCAGCTGCCCCTGCTCGAGGCGCTGAAGGCCGTCTCCCCGTCCCTGAAGGCAGCGCGGCTCAGCCCGTGCCCCAGCACCATGCCGTCAGTGGGCCCGCTGCTGCTTGGGGGCCCCAAAGTGGGGCTCGGTGGGGAGCCCCAAACCCCAATGTCCCCGCCAGGCACCCCCAGCGGGGCTGGGAGCCGGCCTCCCAACTGTGGGGCTGCAGCTGGAACGCCGGCCGTATGGGAAAACGGCCCCCCAGGACACGGGGTCAGGCAGAGGTAGCGACCGGGGATAACCGGGGCCAACAAAACACAATAAAACACCCCAAAACTCACAAGCAGCAGCACCGCGGGCTCCCCGGCCCACCCGCGGGCGGAGGCGGCACGGCCCCACGGGTGGGAGCAGCCCTGCGGGCACAGGACCCGGCCCTCACCCCGCAGCCGGCCCCGTGGAGGTGCAGCCCGGTGCTTACAGCTCCGACTGCGAGCGTGAGATGCGCGGGCCCTTGCGGATCTCCTTGCGCTTCTCCTCCTTCCTCCGCCGCTTCTCCTCCTCGCGCAGCGCCTTCTGGAAGGTGTCAGCGCTGGGGAAGAACTGGGGGGGACAGCACGGTCAGCCGGGGGGCTGCTAACGAACCCACCGCCCCTACACCGGGACAATTTGGCTCCAGGGATGCAAACTCAGCACGGACGCGGAGAGTGTTTTGCCTGCTCGGTAAAGGAAGGGATGCGGACAGGCTATGGCATTGTAAAAAGTACTAAAAACTCATCATTTTGTCGCAGAGTGGAGTTGGAGCTTGGCATCCCCCAACGCATCCCCCCATGGAGCACAGCCCACCAAAATCCCACTGGAGTTGCCACCAGCCATGAGGGGACGAGGGGGACCCACGCAGCTCGGCTGCCTTACCTCAGAGTGGTCGGCTTTGAAGGGATTGCGGTAATCGGGGGACTTCTCGCTGATGCCCAGCTCCTGAGCCATCTGCGGGGCAAAGCACAGACCGCTGCCGCCAGCTCCTGCCCCGCTCCCCTCTGCTCTGCCCTTAACCCCAGCCCAAGACGTGGGACCCCCTCAGACACAGGGTGTGCTCAGCAGCCCCCCAGCAGCTCCTCTTTCCCTCTTTTTTTTTTCCTCCCTTTCTCCCCACACCCCCCCAGGCAGTGGGGAGGGGACGTGGCAGTGGTGGGGGGCTCAGGGCCGTACCAGCCCCAGGAGCTGGGAGTGGGGCCCCCGCTCGAAGACGCCCGTCAGGTTGCAGAAGCCGATGCCCCAGCGGATGAGGTTGTTCCAGTTGGAGTTGCGGTCGAAGTAGTGGTGCACGATCTTGGGGAAGCGCAGGACGACGTCCCCGAAGAAGGCCGTGTTCTCCACCACGTGGGAGTAGGCTGGGGACGAGAGGCACCGGCCCCATCAGCAGCCCGTCCTGCACATCGCCACACCCCAAAACACCAAAAAGCCAGGCCCAGCCCCGGGCATTGCCAGCAGATGCCAGCCATGAGATGCTGAGGATGGAGACGGGGTAAGGGAGAGGTGATGCAGGCTGTGAGATCTTAGATCCTCATGGTGTCACCCAAAAAAGGGGATCGAGAGGAAGAGCTTCATGGGGGGCTTTGTGGGCTGACCCACCCGCATGGTCCACCCACACAGGACAGGGTCCTGAGCACATCTGTGGTGAGATGGGGAGGTTGGGGCTGAAGGGGTGGCACCCCCAGTGCAAACGGGTCAGGGAGACAGCAACAGGGTCCTCGACATAAACAGGGGGACCAGGGGATGCCTGGCATCTGCACAGGGGGATTTCGTCCCTACCTACCGTCCTTCAGCTTCTCGTCCTGAGGGAAAGGCCCATCCGGGGGCACGTCCGCAGCTATGAGCACTGCCCGCGAGTCCTCCAGCACCTGCAAGAGCCCCCGGTCACTGCCCCATCGCACTCCTCCCTGCCCTGCCGTCCTCCCCCCAGCCCTTGAACCCCCGGGGCACCCCACTGCGTCCCCCTTTCTGCTCCCAGCCTGACTGTCTGCCCCCTGCTGTCACCTCACACCCTGCCCGCCCCCCCCATCGCCACCACAGGCAGCACAAACGCGTCCCCTGCCCCACGCTCACTTTGAAGAGTCCCTTGAGCATGATGTCGATGATTTTGTACTGCTGGTTCACGTCGTTGAGCTCGATCAGGTTCTTCAGGGCGTTCATCTGGTCCTTGCGCTTCACCTCGAACAGCTTCTTGTCTGCAGCGCAGTCAAGGGCCCCACGCTGCCAGCGCCACAGCGCTCCCGCTCCTCAGGGCACACGGCGCCAGCCTGGCCCCACTGCATCTCCCCACCCAGAGACCGAGCCCTCAGAGCTCTTTTAGCACTGATCACAGCCTGAAGACCCTTCCCTCCTCTCCCCTCCGTCCCCACCTTCCCCTTTGTGCTGTCCCTGACCCTCCTCACGTGTGCGAGCGCTCTCCGGCCCCGCCAGACACGAGCAGGATGGAGGCGAGGGCCTGAGGGGAAGGATACAGATTTCCAAGCCGGAGTCCACCCGCTGCTTCTCCAGCTCTGCCCGGCTGCCCCCGGGCAGCACCAGCACCAGCAGGAAGGGGCAGAACACGAGGAGACCCATGTGGGACACCGCAGCCTGGAACCACACGGACAAACCCCGTGGTGAGACGAGCCCCAGGGACACCAACCCTGTCCCTTACCCACCCCACGGCCGGGGGCTCCACCTCCCTGGCAGCCCCTTGTGCTTCTGCTCACCCCACACATGCCCCAGCCAAAACCTGCCACAGAACTGAAATCAGCTGAATCCTCCCCAATTTAGGTAACCGTAACACCAGCTGGGGCCCCACCACGAGGTCGCGAGGAGACCCAGACAACTTTTACTTGCCCTGTGCCCTCACCAAGCTTCCCCTGGTGGCCCACACCCCACCCTAACCCCCCAGCCCCTCGCAGCCCCCTGCCCACCGCACCCCACTGTAACAGCAGGATCCAGCCCTGGGCCAGCCTGTACTGGGGATGCAGTGACCCCATGCAGATGTCCCTCCTGGCTCCGACAGCTCTCCTCGTGTCCCCGCACCCCGCGAGGGACCAAGGGACGCGACGAGGCACGGACACCGCCGTGGTGCTGCTCCCCCGAGCCCCCCCCGTGCCTGGCTGCAGCCGGGAGCCCCCAGCCCCCCTCCCGTTCCCCGAATTTCGCCCCCTTTCCCTAACGGCGTGAGGGATGCGGGTTGGCAGCCCCCGTTAAGCCATTTCTAACCACTTCATGCATTCTCCTGCGGCAGCACCGCGGGGGGCAGCCGGGACACCTCGCCCCCTGCACCCCCGCTGCCACCGCCACGAGGGGGGCGACCCCATGGGGCTGCGAGCCCGGAGCAGGCCGAGCCGAGCCGTGCCCAGCCCCAGCCCGGCTTTCCCAGAGCCGCAGCCGCCGCCCCGCAGCCTCCCCCCTGCCCCTCGCCCCCCACCTGCGGGCCGTGCCGGTGCCCGGTGCCGGTGCCGGTGCCGCTCGCTCACGCCCGCCGCGCTGCCATGCCCGCTGCCGCCGCTTCCCCGCCCCGCCGTGTCACTTCCTGAGCTCCCGCCCCGCCCCGGGCACCCCGAGCCCCGGCATCGCCGCTCCGGGACCGCCGGGAGGCGGGGGGGGGTCCGGGGCCGGTCCCGCTCCGCCCGGCTGCGGGGCGAGCCGTGCCCGGAGCTGTTCGCAGCAGGCAGCTCGGGGGTCCTGACCGGCACCAGCAGCCCCACAGGCATCACAGAGAGGCTCCGTTTCAGAAACAGGGCTTTATGAACAATTTTCAACATTTTTTTTTTAAAGTGAGCTGCAAACGACTTCCTTCGTCCATCTTCTTCTCCACCAGCCGCTGGAGGAACGTGGGGTCTCCTGTCCCGTTCTTCCCCCGTCGCCCCATCGCGCGTACTCCTCGGGGTTCAGTCTCCGATGTGTGCCAGGGACACCGCCACACCTCCCAGACAGCTGTGGTGGACGGCATGAGTGGAAACCAAAGGGAAAGCCCGGCTGAAACTCCAGCAAGACACCGCAGCTCCCACATCTGGCACACTGCTGACGGGAGGTGTTCATCACCCAACCACCCCCCTCCCAGACCACGGAAACCCCACCAACACATGGGAAACGTTCATGTGGGTGAGCCCAAAGAACGTTTTTTCCTGATAAAGCTGACACCAAAGCTCGCTGTTGACCAGAGGATTTTGGCTTCCAATGCTCACGACTATCCCACTGAGGTGGCCACCACTGTGAGCACACCCAGACCACGCGGGCAATGTAACAGCAGCCGCCTTCCCTCACTGCCTTACAGAGCAGCCACACAGCAGGGAGGAACTTATCGGGGCTGGGGTAGCCTTCACCAGGAGAACCGGAGCTCTGGGACAGCCCTGTGCTCCCCACCACAGATCTGTGGCATGACGTGGGGGCTGAGCGTGAAGACAAGCCATTTCCCAGCAGTAACAGCCACCTCACCCTCCACACGCCCTGCCCACGGCTGATGACGGTGCCATCCCACCGACACGATGGAGGAAGTCCCCCACCCTGTAGGAAACCCTTGCTGGGGCCAGCTCCATGTCTGCTACCTGTCTGAGGCAATGCAGCATGATAAAAACAGGAAGGCAAAAGCGGACGTTTTCAGAAATAAACAAATGCCGAATTTGGCACGTCCGTCAGGCCCTCCCTTTCTCCAAAAGTAACCTGGGAGTGACCCCTCCCTCCTGTCCACGGAGAAAAGGAGGAGTCAGTGCTCAGCAGGGGACTCTGCTGCTAAGGCCAAGCAGAAAGACACGGGGTAACTCCACCGGGCAGCTTCTGGACACTTGCTGTACTTTGAAAGTGCACGAGTTATCTGTGGGTTGCCGTGACTCTACAGGCATATCGGTGTGAGTTAGCACACGGAGGTTAAGTGGCTGCTCATCCTCCAGGGAAATCAACACAGGAATTGCTGCTGCTTTGAAGTCACGGCTGCCCCGGCCTGCTCCCCTTTCACTGTGTCACCTCTGCCTTACAGATGAATGCAATCCCTGTGCAGAGACCTGTCTTTCATCCCAAATGACTCCTTGTTTCCTAAATGTCTTCTCAAATTTGGGGATGATGAGGTATTTCATCCCAAAATTAGCCAGCTGTAGCAGCCACCACCAGTTTTTGCACTCTTGTTTGCCTTTGGCTGAAAATCAGTCAGGAACAGCAGACTAAGTGACCTTTCTATCTCTATCACATCTACCACCCTCACATCTCCTATCAAAGGCTTTAGCTCAGCAAAAGGATACACGATGTCCTGATGTTTTGCACAGGTGCTCCTCTGTCCCGAAAGGTGCTCCAGCAAGGTCTGAATGGTCCCTGCCTCCACTGCCTCCATCTGACAGTGACTGCTCTGAACCTGTGCAGTCGGAAGCAGGAATGATTTCCAGACCAACAGCAAATTATTGTCCTTGTTCTTTCATCCTTCCCTCCCTCCCTCCCTCTCTCCCGAGCAACCTTCAGACTTCAAACTTTGATCAAGTGGCCCACGACAATGCTGATGACACAGTTTAGGCAGCTGCTGGCATCGCTCACTTCCCCATCTCACTACTCATCTCTCAAGGCAGCAGGCCAAGCTAGCAGCTGCAGGATTCCTCATCATCTTACTATCACCTCCTCAAAGGAAGCTTATGGCTCCCCATCAAAGGCTGAAGCAATCCCTTAGGGAACTCCCTTCTCATTTTCCTAAGCAGTCAGTGCTTTCTTACCTGACGAAGGAAGAGGTGAAGTGCCCGTGATGTGGCCTCCGGCAGCTCTGGCAAGTTGGCTTCTGCTGCTTCTCGAAGAATCAGGCTAATTTCTTTTTGAGAAATAACATTGCTGCTCTGGTACCTCACAAACTTGAACAAAGGGAATGAGAGAGGCATTAGTGAGCAACCCATAGGCTCCAACAATGACACATCACCTAGGAAGACCTCTTCCATGCAAAGGGATGTTGCAGCACCCTAACCACAGGCCTGATTTTTATACCACTTCTGACGGAACCAGTGCAAATATCCACGTTGGTGGTGGTCTAGCTAGACTTAGTTTAGGTCAAGAAGAGATTGAAATAATCCAGGTAACCTTTTAAAAGTGAAATAAGAATAACGAAGATTCAGAAACCCATCACGTATTTGGGGGTGGAAGGTTCACATTAATAACCCCTTGCTCTCATCTACTGCCATGAGGACTTCAGTATCCTCAGTGTTTCTGCTGGGTCGGATCACACTTTCTCTCTTGCTCATAGGCCCCACATGCAGCAGGGTCACAGACTGTGGTAATTCCCTGACCTGAAAATTCGGGTCTGTAAGGACAAAGACTGGGAGAGAAGCTGTGATGCCAAGCAGAGCTCTGCTCTCCAACGAGCCACAGCATGCTCCCAGCCTGCCAACAGCAGCCGCACGTTCTCTGTAGGCTTCCCCTCTCCTTCCCCAGGGGCTCTAGGTGATCTAAACCAACGCTACAAAAACACCAGAAGAACAGGATGCGCTCAGTTAGAGCAGTCGGTTTCTGCACAGCGTGGAAGGGAAGTTCACTTGAAAGTACAATTATTACAGGACACAAATATAGTGACGGACAAAACCACAGTAGTATCCGAGACCGTGTATATACAGGAGGCAAGCTGCAGTAAACAACCCAGATGCACTGTACCAACATAGAGGAACAAAACAGAGCACAGCCCACCCCTCCCCTGCTCACCAAAGTCACGAGTCTGAGAATTTCTGGCTGCAGAACGGATTTCTGGCCCCCGTTGAGCAGTGTCAAGAGTAGGAATCGGTGCCAGGGCTGTGAAGCAACGTGTAGTGCTGGGAGAGAAGGAGAAGCCACAGACTGCTTTAAAAAATCTGCCAAGTGACAGGCTGGGCCTGCAAAAGGAGTCTTCCAGTTCTGAACCCATGTTTTCTCTTCTAGACCCCAAGCTGTGAAACACCAAGGGGGCATTTTGCTCTGTTCTTACTTGCTTTTAAATCTGTCACTCTTTGGGCAAGAGTTTAGTCATGAGGACAAAAGCTTAATAGTTTTTTTTTAAACAGAAAATACATTTTGTCCAACGTTGTGCTTGTGCGGGATGAGAAACCTTCTCCTGGGGTGCATGCCATAAAATACTGAGGGGATATCTTTAGCCCAAGGTTTTAAAAATATACCCTCTGGTTTCAATATGAGGACAAGTTTCCTGACCACAGGTTTTATTTAGCTGCCGAATACTCTTCAGGGAATGAAGAAAGCCCTATAACATAAGCTGCACGAACTGAGCCTGGGTCTGCATCAGAGAGCGTACTACAGGGACCAGCTAGGCTGATGGCAGCAGTGCAAACAACCAGCAGAGAAAATGTTCTTAATTAAAAGCATGTAAGATAAGCAGAGGTAAGGCTCAAGGTCACTGGCTGTGACAGCGTGAAATCTCTCACTAAAGTTAACTTGTACTACCGTGTTTTTACTGCTGTTTGAGAACTGGGGATAGACAACTACAACAGGTCAGCAATAAAACCTGTTACAGCTTGGCCACCAGGTTTGAACCCTTTCAGAAAGGTCCCTTTTCCACTGGCACCTGCATAACCTCCCTATTGCCTCTACAACAATCTTTTCTGTAGTAAAGCAACACCAAAAAAAATCACATAAAGTGTTTGGAAAGGTGGGGGAGGGGATGGGATCTTTTCCCTGGAGGAAATGAGAAAGTACCAGTGCTGTGCACTGAGTGTGCTCTGCACATCTGCAAGAATCTCTGGACCAAGAGAGGGTTTTAGAAAGCCTCAAAGGAGGAAACTTCTACAGGCAGAGACCAGGCCACAGCCTTTGCAATGTTCTTGCTTCTTTCAGCCAAGCATACTAAAAACCCTCATTCCACCTGGGAGACTTGTTAGCACTGCTGTGAGCTTCTGCACCACTGCAAGAATTTGGACAGCCAAAGTGAAGGGTTCAGCTGCTACTGAAACATTTTGTTACCATAATCCCAGATCAGTGGAAGGTCCCCATAACACGCCTTTTAACAGACTCCCTTCAGCTACTGGCTGTCATTCATTGGCAGTATTACATTTTTATTCAACAGCTTCCCCTCTCCCAACAATGTCCCTTTTGTCTGGTGTTCATTCACTCCGTTCCCTTCTCGCTCAGTGTTTACGTGACTGATTTGAACAGGTCAGGGTACAGAAAACTAATTTTCTGTTCTAAGATCAGAGACAACATCTCTACTTTGTAGGCTGACAATGAGCAGAAGGGTCTACACTTCCCCTGACTGTACGATGCTGTCATAATTTGTTATACAGCTAGCGTGGTATACATTCAGTCTGACACAGACTCCTGAAAGCAAGGTCTGCATTTGCCCCTGGAAATCTAGAATTTCCAGCTTCCATTTCCTATGGCTGTTTACTACCCTCTTCTCCCTTCCTATCCCTAAGGGCCAAATGTCTCTGTGTGGAAGACAAATCATATTCATATCTTTCCTCCCTCCCTTCCTACCCCCTCTATCTTTATGATCCAAAGGTTTGCTAAATTGGGGTGGAATTGACAGACTATTCCTATATTACATCGGTCCCTAAATCCTTCATTTTTACCACATTAGGGTGTGGGG